CCTCTGTGTTATGCTCGCACAAACGGACTTTAAATTATATAGATAACTATTTCGCACAGCAAATGTCATGTAGTCGGTAAAAAAGGTTGCTTTCTTAATTAAAATTTAGTGACTTTCTACTTATTTTTTTAATATTTTTAATTATATTTAATATGATATATTAAAATTAGAAACTTTAAGGCGATGAATTTTTAGCGGGCGATTTTCGGTGACTATCGTTCAAATTCCTGTGACTATCGATAGATGGCGATAGTGGTTAAACTATCGATAGTCCGATAGTTGCCATCGATAGTTCTCCACCTCTAATAATCTTATTGATTTCACTTGTACGAGTATAGTGTGGTAAAATTTAGCATGATAAAAATATCAAAAAGGAAATTAAAATTTCGATGTTTTCTAAAAGAAATGTTTCTATTCTATTCTATAAACGAAGCAGACTTGTTTAAAAAGTGAATTTATATATTTTTTTATTTTGTACATCATATAATAATATAAGTTAATTTTTTTGTTATAATAAATAATTTGTTTTAATGCCTTGCAATTATTTAAAAAAAAAAACTACCCAACAGTATACTGAAAGAAATATATGTTTGTTTTAGCAATGTATGTGGTTCATATATGGACTACCACATACATTGCTGAAGCAAACATATATTATATTTAGTTTTAACATAATATGTTAAAACTAAATATAAAAATGGTTAAGGTAAATATAATATATATTTGCTTCAGCAATGTATGTGGTAGTCCATATATGAACCACATACATTGCTAAAACAAACATATATTTCTTTCAGTGTAGGTTGAAAAGGTGACCATTGTTACAATGAAAATAGTTTATTGAATTAACAATTAATTTGATGTTTTTTATTTACATAAATCTTACTAATATTAAAAGTTTTATTTTAAACGAAAAGGGATTTGTATAATTTTCAAAATTTCTATGAACAATACATTAATACTACAAAACGTTTTTGTAAACGGTATAGAACTGTTTTTTTGGACAAATAATAAAAACTATATTTATCAATGCGTTTCTGCATCTGGAAGAGTGTTAATTTTATAAATATAACGCAAATTTAATTTATAATGAATGCAAATGCTATGAATGAAAGCAGCGTTTGTACATAAATAATTTTTATAAAAATGATCTTTTTGCCGTAACAAAAGCAATTGTTGGACGAAAAGGGATCTTTACTTTATTAAGACAAACTACTTTTTTTGTTTTAATGTTAAACAAAATAACATTTATTTTTAGTTATTTTTTGTTTGTTTATGTCTTAATAAAATGATTTGTAGATGTCTATAAATATTTATTATAAATTGTTGTTTTTCCACCGATGTATATTATACACAAATCGTATCATTTAATTCTGTGTCAGTACGTTGGACTTGGCTCGATACACCACAATTACTCACGCATTATTTTCTTATTATGCACTCATTGCATTCTTTAGAAATAATTAATATGTTTGCCTTGTTTTTACTGGAGCAATGGAATTTACCGGAGGAACTTCGTATCAAAAACAATAAGGTTATAAGATAAATAGGAAGTAGTACCCAAGGAAAAAATAATGAATGTAAACAGGAAGCTGTGTGCAGTTTCGAACAAAAATGTCCTTTTTCAATGCGTTGAATCGACCTAGAATGGAAAAGGTACAAGGTAATAATTAGAAAACTTTGGACTAAGAAATGTTGATTTGCTAAGATTAGTTGTTAAACTGCACGCCAAAAATAGAATGTATGCTTCAAGAAACGGTTATTTTTGGTAGCAATTACGAAATTTAAGTACCAAGCAGCGAAAGTACACACTGAAATACTAAAATCAAGGACATTGACCTATGTATCATCTTTGCACATTTTATTAAAAGTGACGTTCCAAAATATCACATCAAATACCATAACTTTATAAAATCTATTAATAGAAACGCATTCATAGCCAAATACGGTTACAAATCCCCAACAGAACACGTACGAGGTGTGTTCAGAAAATAACGGGAATTGTTAAATTTCGCGGGTTCGGAGGGTCCGGTTGTCATAAAATTTTCTTTATTATGTTGGTATACATGCCCCCGAAGTATGATAAAAACTTTAGCTGTTTTCATTGTTTACTTTGTCTGTGGCAGCCGCTAAGGTTAGACGTGTTTTATGAGCTCGGCGATTTTTCGTTCGTTAAAAGAAATGGATCAAAGAATTTGTATCCAATTTTACTTAAAAAATTAAATAAATTCTGTGAAATGTTAACAAAGGCCTATAGTGAGTCTGCTATAAGTAAAACAAGAGTTTACAAGTGGTATAAGAGTTTCCAAGATGGCCGTGAAGACGTTGAAGATGACGAACGCCCCGAACGCACAAGCACATTAACAACCATAAAAACATGGAAAAAGTGGAAGAAATGGTTATAAACCATCAGAGAAGTCGCTGATAATGTTGGTATATCGATTGGCTCATCCCATGAAATTTTTTCGAATGTTTTGGGTATGAAACGCATGGCAGCAAAATTTGTTCTAAAATTGTTAAATTTAACACTATTTTTGGCCAAAAACAATACTGTAATGATGCCCCAGCCTCCATATTCGCCAGACATGCCTCTGTCTGACTTTTTCCTATTCCCAAAAATAAAGAGAACCTTAAAGGGCCGTCGTTTTGCAAGCATAGATGACATTAAAAGCGCATCGCTGAAAGAACTAAAGGCTATCCCAAAGATCGAGTTTTAGAAGTGTTTCGAGTATTGGAAGAAGAGCTGGCACATGTGCATAATATCCAATGGGGACTATTTTGAAGGCGACAACATTAATGTAAACGAATAAATAAATATTTGTTTCAAAAAACGAAACACACCTCGTACATACAAAATCAAAAGAATCCGCTAAAACTTAAGTCATGCAGATAATAAAAAAGTAAACATGATTGATTCATTGTTCAAGGAATAGATAATATTCCTGTTTTTAGTAAATTTTAAACTGGCACTGGCTTAAAAACAATTATAAAAATAAAAAAATCACCGCTATTAAAAATTAATAAAAAACATATTAAGTAAACAAATTTGTGACGTCGGGTTTAAAGATCACACCGTAATAATTATTTATTAGCTATAAATAAACTAATTGTTTTGGGAAAAAAACGTTCCACAATTGAAAGTTTAATGATGTTTAATTTGTTTTGAGTTTGATACACACGTTTATCATTAGGCAATTGAGTAATAAAAATATTGACAAAAAATACTTTCATATTTTAAATGCGCTTTAAAAATAAAGGAAATAAAAAAAAATAAAAATAAAAAAAATATTTTGTTTGCCCTTTTTTATCTCTATTTTGTTTGAAATTGATTTAAAATACTTTTAAACATAAAATAATATTATGTTTTATTAATGGTTTGTTTAAATTACTTGGCTTATTTTTGGAATAAAACAAATTATTAAAATTTAAGGCATTTCCATTTGTTAGAATTGACATCAAACAATATGGGGTCATTCCACGTTACTCGGGGATTTTTGTCCCGCCCGTCACAATTAAAAATTGTGAGTAAAAACTACACGTTATAAAATTTATTAAAAAATATATATATGCTTTTAATAAGTTATAAGCACAATAAAAATAATATTATAAAATATTAATTTTACAACTTGTGGTATTTACTCACAATTTTTAATTGTGACGGGCGGGACAAAAATTACCGAGTAACGTGGAATGCCCCTATGGCGATTTTAGGATGCTTTTACTTATTGGTTAGATAACCAATATAAATTTACCTGCAAGTTTATTTAAACCATTTAAATTATTTTATTGTTTTTAATTTAACTACTTTATTTACCTATCGGTAATTTATAACTCTTTGATTTTGGTTTATATTCGGTTAATGTAACACATTATAGTTAATAATTACCAACATAGGTTAAATTAAACTAACTTGTTATTTTTAAAATAACTAACTTAAAAAACTTAAAAAAATTCTCGCCGATCTTACGTTTTGATTTTAGTTCCAGCCCTGCTTTATTTTTATAAAACGCATCTGTTCTGTGATAAAACCTATAGATGGTTACCAAATTAATTAAATGTGAGGGGACTGTTTTAAGATTTGTAGATAAATAATTGTTTTCAACTTTGTTAACTCTTCTATAGTAAGTGGAAGAAAGTCTATATATTTTTAAATTATTTCTTGTAGGCTCTGTTATTTCATGTATAAAGCTGTATTGAGACTAATTTTTCTATGCAGGTAACAATGAAAATATAGGTAAATTAAGGTTATTTCAAGAGTTTTAATTGACTATAAATAAACCAAATATGTAACTAGTTAGTAATATTACCAATAGGTACCTTAAAATCTGTATACCTCAGTTAGTTCGCTACTTTCGAAACGGCCTGTATTTTTGATAAGAATTTAAACTATTATTTTTATTTCTATAACTATACATATGTATGTTTTTGATAAGAATTTAAACTATTATATTTATTTCTAAAAATAGCGTTTTAACCTTAAAAACGTTTAAAATAATGCTATCGCAATTATTTTAAAAGTGAAATTAAATTACTTTTGTCGGCGCATTCACCATTTTTGCAACTGTTGAAAATCACGTTTTTTAGTTACTGACATCATAACATCGTACCACACACAGCATGGTGATTCAATACTCAACATTCACATGATCGGGCATAAACATAAAAAGTAACAGCTTTATAAATAAATTTATCAATGAGTTATGACTAAAGCTAATAAAAAAATTGCGCTGGGCAGTGCCGTACGTGTGCTAATTTTTCAGTCGCCCCTTTTTATTTGCGCCCTAGTTTAGAACAAGGTCTTTACATAAAAAATCCTTGGTAATAAAAGATAACATAACTATAACTGTAACAATTTTAAATAAAACTGATAATAAAAAATATAATGAAAATCTTTTGACATTTGAAACATTTAAATACACCCGAACAGTATGACAGTTTAAATCCTTTTAAAAAACACCAGATTACATGATTTTTGAAATGACATAATAAACCTGTCTTACCGCATGATAAAAGAGTATCTCATTAGGGTTCCAACCATCATGTAGTGTTATAATGTATTCCAAAGCAGAAATCCAAGTACGATCCAAACTTAGTCAGTCACTTAAACCGCTCACTATACTTAAACGCGCGCATCCAAAGCTGAACGCAGACTGAATTATTCTCGGCCTGCTACTTGGCGCGACAAGCTCGTAGATATACGGGGGCGGTTTTATTAGTCATCATAATATGAGCTGGAGGTGAATAGAAACAAATTTGCAGTATACAATATGTACAATTACAAAACTTGTTTTATTACCTCTTTTTACCACATATTATAGAGTTCCCAAGTAACATATGCGACTCTTGGCTTTTACCTAAACATTATATCAAAGCTTCATCACATTCTTTGAAGTCACCCTTAAGGCCTATTAAACTTTATGGTATATTGGTACTTAAAAATTATTTTTTATCGAGGAAACTGCCCCAAGACTACTTGCTTGTGCTGTAAGTACTTTTTATAGCTAATACTTTAATCTGCTCATTATACTCCTGCAGTGTGCTAGCTTCTCAAGAGCAGTTTGTCTCGATGGCAATACATTAAAAGGCATTTTAGCTTTAAAACCAAATTACGAAATCACCGCTATTATAGGTAGTATTGTGTTTAGGTTAATCTAATTAATCCCTTTTCGTTTAAAATAAAACTTTTTGTATAATATTAATAAAATTTATGTAAATTTAACAACAAATTAATTGTTAATTCAATAAACTGTTTTCATTGTAACAATGGTCACATTTTCAACCTAATGTTGGGTGTTGGGTAGTTTTTTTTAAATTAAGTGCAAGGCATTAAAACAAATTATTTATTATAACAAAAAAAAATTACTCATATTATATGATGTACAAAATAAAAAAAAATAAGAACTCAATTTTTAAACAACAAGTCTGCTTCGTTTATAGAATAGACCTTAAATATTTCTTTTAGAGAACGTCAAAATTTTAATTTTCTTAGTGAACTTTTTGATATTTTTATCATGCTAGATTTTACCACACTTCACTCGCACAAGTGAAATCAATAAGATTATAATCAGGGTTGTTCCTGGCTGATTTTTTAAAGTGTAGAACTCGATAATGAAATTGTGTAGCATTATGCAGTTTTAAAATGGGGCGTCAGATTGGCGAATTCGAAAAATTCAATTCGTTTTGGTGGTTATTAGAATATAGATGCGACTCGTGCAGTTTTACCCATATACCTATAACTAGTTATAAGTTATAGGTATATGGTTTTACCATAATTCTACAGTAGTTTTACACTATAGGGACCATAGATGGAAGACTGATAGGGACTCTATTTTACACACGCTTCAGCAAGGCCTTATATTATTATATTACCGTGCGTTTTATATTTTTTACCATTATGTTGCAATAAAAAAAGAATGGATATGCACCTAAGATCATACAAGGGATGATCTAAGATATGCACGTTAAAATAAAAGAAAATTTTCAAAATTTTCAATTTTTAATAAAAAATAAACCTACAGAAAAAATATAAAATTATTAAAATAAGAGTCCCTATAAGGACTCTACTCAAGATGGTTTCTTGTAGAAAGAAAAGTTTTTTTATTGATTGCTTATAATAGTGTAGTTTTTTGTTTACTTTATCAAAAAAGTGTAGCAAAACAATAAAATTTGCCATTGGGGTGCCCCGGTGTAGCTACTTGTTAAAAAGTGTAGCATTTTGCACAATTGTGTAGCTTGGAACAACCCTGATTATAATATATTATACAGACTGTGGATTATAAAGTTATGTTCACCAAGGAGAGCGCTGGCCCTTTCCCCCCCTTTTTAAGGGAAATAACAAAAATTCTGTTACCTTAACGTAAGCTATTTACAAAGATTTTCTAACTGAAATAAAATTAATTTGAATTACAACGATAGTAATTTAAAAAAAGACAAATATGCCATAGTAAAATGAACAAATAATATATGTATACAGACTGTGGATTATAAAGTTATGTTCACCAAGGAGAGCGCTGGCCCTTTCCCCCCCTTTTTAAGGGAAATAACAAAAATTCTGTTACCTTAACGTAAGCTATTTACAAAGATTTTCTAACTGAAATAAAATTAATTTGAATTACAACGATAGTAATTTAAAAAAAGACAAATATGCCATAGTAAAATGAACAAATTTTACTATAACAACTGCGCATTACTTTATGTAAGCGCAATTCACACAAAACTATAGATTTACCAAGAACATTTTAAGTTCGACAAAGATTTAATATAAACATTAAGTATTTCTTATTGCCATGACAATATGATAACAACTATTACTTTGTTGGATGAACATTTTTTCTATAAGTAAAAGCTCAACATTGCTGCTTCATTATAGTAAATGACAATTTTATAAACAGTAAAAAAAGTTTATTCTGTAAATAAAAATAATCTCATTACTTTGACAAATCGTAGGTTTTTGTCCCAATAAGACACTGAAAATTTAATAAAAAAGGTACCTTAGATGGTACATTTTTATAGCCTTTACAATTTTAAATTTAAGTTAAATAATAGTATTTTATTAATCGCTTACAATGGTACCTATATTATGTATCAAGTTTGATAAACGCCATTTTATACACGAATTTAATTTAGGCACTAGCGAGCTTGCGAGCGAGTGCTTAAGTTAATAAGTGTATAGAACAGTTTATAAACGAGGTGTATACTATACTTTTTCTACGACAAATACTTATTATTATCTTAAATCAAAAATTTGTATAGCGCCATCTATGAAACAACAGGGGAAACTGTCAAATGTCACATTTTTACATTTTATAAACACAATTATAAAGGTTATATATCGAAATGTATCTTGAAAATTGACAGTTTTTCACAGTGAAAGTAAAGGAAATGTTTTATAAAGACTTTACATGCAGTAGAGTCCGTGCCCGAATTTAAGTTATAGTTTACTGCCGGCGAAATTAAAAGGTCAGTACAATGTTCATATAAACTTTGCAAATATTGGCGTTGAGAAACTATTTAATATTTTTGTATTTTTGTATTGAGATAATAAAGTAATTTTCACATTTAGTATTATTTTACAAGAAAGGCACTTTATTTTAACGATTGTATGACATTTGACAACTGTCAATTAACTTAAAACTAACTTCAGCCCGTGACTAAAAACTTGTCAATGTGTATTTAAAAGGTCACTTAGTGTCATGGAAACATGTACGATAAAGGGCGTTTTAAAGGTGGGAGTAGAAAAAATTAGTTTCACTATCAGTGCATGTACATTTTTTTGAGTGTACGGCAAAAACGTTTAATAGGATTAATGCTAACATGCTAACTAGCTTTATCGACCTCTTCGTCTAAGGACACCATAAAGCTTACTTAACTACCATTTAGGTTTATGGAGGTGTCATGACAGCCTTCTCTGCAGAGAAGGCTTTATGAAAGCTGTGACAACCTCATTAAAGCAATTATAATAAAACCTTTCGGTTTTATTATCGATGCAAAAATAGGCCTTGAAGGCAATACAAGGATTCTCCTTTTTGGTTCTAAGAAAGTCTTAAGCCTGCTGTAACAGCGGATTAAAGCAAAAAGCTGTTAGAGCAATAATAAAACCTAATGTGTTACTTGGGTTATGACCGAATGGAAAACAAAGTGGCCATATTGGCCTGCTTTACTCTACATACAATATGTGTTGTTCAGATGTGTGACGTGGGTGTGTGGCGTCACGTACGCCAATGGAGTTGTTTGTGCGAATATGATACTGATACATGATTGTGAGCCTGGTCAGCTTTTTGGCAATGATCGTTTGGTGCAAGGCGCCTAGATTGATAACGTTTTTTTTAATGTGTTATCATTTGCAAAATATCCCATAAACAACAACAATTATTACGCAATTGAATAAATAAATATAAATTTTTATTTACGTGTTTATTTGCATTGATTATGTACAGTGCTACGGGTTGGGGCAAATTAGCTTCAAAGGGGTGGTACACTGCTTTTTTAAGAATGTTTGATCTGATTTTTGCAAGATTTTCACAATAGCAAATACCTAATTTTATACAGGGTGATGCTGTATAGGAAATAAGAAATCAGTAATCGGAAATCTGGTATTTGTAGTTTTAAGACAAGCTTTTTCTTTAAAACACTGTACAAATAAGGTATACCTAACTTATTTTTTATAAATAACAAACATTTTAATGCATACGATAATTACAAATTGACGTCACACCTACGTATTTTAATACATACAATGCACCTTTAAAATTACACCTACATATCCACCAACGCATTTTTGGAAATTTTTAACTTGTTTTTGATGGTTTTATTTGCATGAGCAATTAATTGTTTAGAAATTACTAAACAAACGACAGCAAATGTGGAAGAACTGTCTTCAAATCCTATCCAATTAAATTTACGTTATGCCTGGTTTATTCATTTAAGTAATATTGCACAATAACGTTAAATTAACCTTAAATTAACGTTATTTTGTAATACCTAAGTGGGGAATTTAATTATGGTAAAATTAAAGTTATGTTAGTTAAATTTAACTTTTTGGTTAATATACCTTTTGGTTAAAAAGAAGTTAATATTTGGTAGTTTTTGGTTTATTTTACCATTTTTAACTTATTTAAGTTAACTTAGTTAACTTAAACTATAATTAACCGGTGTAGGTTTATATAATTATAATTTACAAAATGTGGTTATGTATATCTATAGATATGACTTACAGATCCTTAAAATAAAATGTCGCCCCTGAATATTAATACGTATGTATATTAATATTTTAAGGAGGTAGTTTTAAGGAAAAAACCAATGGGTCATTTTTGTTTCTGATACTAATACATATTTTAAGTGCGCTTTGAAAAAAAAAGAAATAAAGAAAATAAGAGTTTGAAAAAATATTATTTTTGGCCTATTTCGTTTAAAATTGTTTTGAAATACTTTTAAACATAAAATAATATTGTTTTATTATTGGTTTGTTTGTAATGAAACAAATTATTAAAATTCATTTTGTTAGAACGGACAGCAAACAATATGGCGATTTTAGGATGCTTTTACTTATTGGTTATAACCAAAATAAATTAACCTGCAAGTTTATTTAAACCATTTGGTTATTTTATTGTGTTTAATTTAACTACTTTATTTATATATCGGTAATTTATAACT